CGTGGGCACCCTGGCTCCACACTGCTGTGTCCTCACCTCTCCTCCAAGTGTGTGTGTGTGTGTGTGTGTGTGTGTGTGTGTGTGTGTGTGTGTGTAGGGGGGAGGCTCTCACCTGGAAGTGGAAGATGCCAGCATAGCCATCCTGGAAGCTCTGGCCATGTGGGACCACTCGGTGCAGGAGGGTGTCATTGAGAGTGAGGGAGGCGATGGCAGCCAGCAGCCAACAGTCCCCTAGGATGGGAAGGGACTGAAGGCCAATCTGTGCCTGTGGGTGCCCGTGCTGGGGAGCACCCAGCACAAGCAATTCCCCAACACCTCGAGCCCTTTAGAAAGATCCAGGAATCCCGGGGAACCAGCCAGCAGAGGAGCCTGCCTGGACTTGCAGGAGGGAGGGGCTAGGGCAGAGCGGGAATGGGGAACTGTTTGGCAGAGCCCGGGGGTGGAGGCGTGGGGGTCCTTACCCAGAGCCCCCTGGCAGATGTCCGTGCGGGTGGCTCCGTCCACGATGAACTGGGGGTTTGAGAACAATTCCTGTGGGGGAACCAGAGTCTTGTCCTTGGGCTGGTCTCTCCCGGAAGTTGGTACCCAGTCATCCTGGACCCCGTTCCCCCCTGGGGGACCCGCCACCCCACGCCTCACCTGGGGGGGTCAGACCCAGGGGTCAGAGTGACCCTGCTCACCGTGGGCCGTTTCCACTTGACGCCGTAGGTTTTGGAGGAGTTGGGGCCCAGTTCCTTGAAGCCCAGGCTGTGGGGCCCGGGAGGGAAGGCCTCATCGCGGAAGAGGGCCCCTTGTTGCAGGCATGTTGCCCGCAGCTGCTCGTAGTCCTGGCCCAGGTACTTGATGGCATTCTCATGGCGGCCCAGGCCCAGCTCCTTGGCCCGCTGCTTCTGCACTTGGGCTGACACGCCCGTGCAGTACACCGGGGTGATGATCTCCTCAGACATCCTGGGAGAGCCACGGCCTGCTCAGAGCGCAGGCCTCCCAGGACCAGAACAGGGCTGCTGCTCTCCCGGCCCTGCTCACCCCTCCTCCCAAACCTAGGGGTCCTGGAGCCACCACTCCCCTCCCAAACTCAAGGCTCACTGGCACCCACTGTCTGTGCTCCTAGACTTCCGGTGAGGGGCTCTCCGGACCCCATATGGAGGTCACCACCTCCCCTTCCCAGACCTGTTGTCCTGGGCCTGCAGCCAGCTGAAGCAGAGCCTCACAACACAGGGACCCCCAGAGAAGATCTCTTTGGTTCTGTGGGAAGGAGCCCACTGGGGGCCCCTTTCCCTTGGGTGTGGACGGGGAACTCCTGGGAGTATGTCTGGGTTCCTTTCGGCAGAGTGCTGAGCCAGGCAGGGCTCTAGTGCCTACCCAGCCAGTCCTCCTCCAGCCCAGCCCCAGGGGACAGTGGCTAGGCAGGGGAGGGCACCAGGGAACACCCTTTTCAAGCCCCCTCACCATGGCCCAAACCCTCAGCCCAGCGCAAGGACCTGGGACCAGGCATCCCGGCTGGGCCACCCCCAGCTCCTTACCTGGGGAAGGGGGTCTTTGGGGCCCGCCGCTGTCCCTGCAACTGGCTTCCCGGTGGCAGCTCAGGGCAGGGCCCAACCAGGAAGAGAGCTCCTCCCCGCCCTCCTCCTGGCCCCTCCGCCC